CTTTTGATTAAAGAATTACAACTTACTTCCATTGTTTCCAACTACAAAATTGACATTGGATCCAAACTTGAATGGCCCCAACATAGAGTGGCACATAAAGTTCTTCAGCTGGATACTTTCTATTATTCCAACATCCCCTGAGACCTACAAGTACATCAGAAAGACATTTTAATTGCTAAAAAAATATATCCTGATCACAAATTTCTATACAAGCTGAGTAAGCTCCCAGACCTTACAATGCTGACAGTACAATGCTGGAGAGGTTCTGAAACTCTATCATAATAAGATTTCTAAAATAACTGAAGGTATGTGACCTCCTCTAAAAAAACTAATGATTTCTTTGGTATTACAGATAGTCCTCAACTTACAACCGGATGCCTCCCTCCAAAGCTCTGTTCCCACTGGCAAACGCTTTTTGGAAAGGGCTGCCAAAGCCTAAAGGGATGCAATCCTCAGGCGCTTTGGTGGCAATAAAGGAGGCTCAGAGGTGTTTGTGCGGCTCTTCATACCTTTTTCATCACCAAAGCCTTCCTCTAGTTTGGCAACAAGAAAGGAGGCCCAGAAGGTTGTGCGTACTCTTCCAGGACTCCTTTTTCATCACCAAAGCAGTCATCAAGCAGTTTGGCAGTGAGACAGGAGGCCTGGAATGGCACGCCACCCTCTGGGCCTCCTTCATCGCTGAAGCTGTCCTCAAGCGATTTGGTAGTGAGAAAGGAAGCCCAGAAGCCCGCACCTCCTTTCTTGATGCCAAACTGCTTAAGGAAGGCTTTAGCGATGAAAAAGGAGGGAGCAGGCAAAGAAACAGTCTGGAGAGAAGACAGCTCTTCACCACATAGGTGACCTGGTGCAGCAGGATGGGGGGGAGCAATTGTGGGGACCCCAAGGGAGAATGAGGTATCTGTGTGTCAGGGGAGGCCTTGGGTGGTCTGAAGCATGTGGCCTCTTTCATCACTCCCCCACCCCGTGGCCTTCCTCAACCTGAAATACCTCATATGCACTTAATGAGCCTCGCATTCGATTAGTGAACGCATGGGAGAAAGGAGGAATGATCACGTTCAAGGTACAAGATTTAATCCCATGAATTGAGTTATGAATGGAATGGGCAGGCTCCATTTCATTCGTAACTCGAGGACTACCTGTATATATGGTTACAAAAGTGCACCTTTTATATATAACCCTCAAACATTAGAGAATTAGAATAACTTGCAGTTGCGACAAAATGCTAGGAAGAGAAAAATGAAGTTTTTAATGAAGCTTTAATATGAAAAAGGAAATGAAATCCATAGAGTAATCACAAGGAAACTTACCTTAATAAAATGTAGTTTTTATTTTGCCCTGCTGCCTCCATGTTCAGAGTGCAACTACCAGCACGGCATTCAACACCAATTAATACATACTTTCCAAAATTCAGTTTAGTCTAGGTTTCTGGTTAAAATTTGATGCAGACAGTCAAGGCTAAAACCAAAGCCAAAAAACAATGGCATTAAATACCAGCAGATGAATCCTGGCATTTAATGCCATTGACTGTCATTTTTCCCAGTTCAGCTTATAACTAATTAAAACATATACACAGACACCCAACACTGGATTCAAGCACCAAGTCACAGATATCTTTGATATCATCATAATACATATTTTTGTCATTGCCCCAATGCCTATGATTGCATGGCTAACAGTGAGTTATATTTAAGATTTTAGTTCAGTATCTGGAAGATCACAAGTTGCTCACTGCTGAATCAAAATGTATAAAAAATTGAAATGGATGACTAATTGGATGCTTAGTCACTTCATCAATTAGGTTTTTTTATCTTTGTCTGAGACTGTTGTTTCATTTTTCCTTTCAAGATAATTTCAAAATTACATTGTTGCATTTATAGCTTACCAATTGTGAATCAGAATTATAGTCATTCATTAGCCTTGAGCATTCGTCACTAAGGTCACCATCAGAGCTATCCCAGAATTCTTGCCTAGCTCTTTTGTGGGATACTGGCGTTGAAAAACGGCGTTCTTTTCTTTTTGCCATAACTAAAAGCAAAAATTGAATAAAAGTTATCTCACTCCATGTATAACTGTAAAAAGTCCCATCAGAATACAACTAAAAATAATATCATTCATCTCACTGCAACAAGTTTAAGAACTGGTATATAACTGTTGAATTAAAATTAAAGGTTCCCTGTAGTATTGAATTCTGGCTGTATAATTCCCAGTGAGGGAAAGATCAGGAATTATTCCGAAAGAATTAAGAGAGATACACTTTAATTACATTTTGTTAAACAAATGTCATAAATTCAAAGAAAAAATAATCATTAAAACGATCAAAGAACTGTGAATTAGTATAATAGCACAGACTTATATACCACTTCACAATGCTTTACAGCCCCCTCTAAGTTGTTTACAGCGTCAGCATATTGCCCCCAACAATCTGGGTCATTTTACCGACCTTGGAAGGATGTGGTAGCATCCCCCAAGTGGTGAACTCATATTCCCCAAGAGAATTGCTCCTGAAATCTGTAAAAAATTCAATCTCAGCAGTGTAATTTCAAGTAATTTTCTTTAGATTTTGGAGAAGGTAGGAGCACCAGTACCTCACTCAGATTTTCACCTTTAAAATGCACTTAAACATACACAAGAACAATTTTAGTAAGGGGGATTGACTGTTTTGATTAAAATAATGGAAATGGGAGTACTCTGCTTCCCATGTGTCTTTTACTGCTATTCCTGTTAAAATCCTCTAAAATAAAATATAGTTAATTTTTTGAAAACGGCCAACAAATGTCACCCATACTTCTGTTGAAGTCTGTAGCCCTCCAGGCCTTCATAAAGCTAAGTTTGGTGCCCAGCCCCTCAGAACTGTCTGCAATCTATAGTCTGATTTATTTTCAATATCTGAAAACTGTATTTGTTTATAATATGAAAATGTCTCACACCAATCATAATTCCATTCTCAATTTATTTAATTTTCTTAATTAAAAGCAGCTTTATTTCTCAGTCTTTTGGATGTGATAATTTTTTTAGAGAATTTTGGCTTCCTTTTTAATTTTTCTAGTAAGTTTCTTTTAGTTTGATTTATAAAGATACCGATTTATCCTTTTGTTGAACATCATCCTTAACATGGACCATAGAATGAGGATTACTGCTAATAACTAAAGATTGATAGAAAAACTCATTAAAAATTAAGGTTTTTTTCAAGTTGATTTTAACTCCTGTGATTTCACGAGCATGTCTATATGGTTTTCTGGACAACGATCAAAAACAAACTGCATATTTTCTCAACTTTCCTGTCTAGTCTTATAGCACTAGTTCTCTTAAGTAATCTCCCACCCAAGTATCAACTAACCCTGATTAACTTCCAACATTGATATTTTCAGTTGGGCATGACTATCAGCTAAGGGTCATATAAATGGAATTAAATAAAGCTTTATATTATTATACAGTCTAAATACACCACCCTCATTACAATAAATGAAAGTACTGGAAATCTGACATTATACTGCTTTTCGTGTTACTCTCGGTCCTTTAGGAGTTTAGGCAGTTCCCCACCTCAGAATGTCTCAAAAAGGCATTAGAGGCTTTACCAGGAGGGGCCAAAGAACCATAATCCTTTTTAAATCTGCCCCCCTTCCAATTTTTTTTAAAAAATGGTTTACTTGCTTTAAATCGAACCTTTCTCTTGCTGAGAAAATTTTCTTTGTAAGGAAAAAGGAAGATGGAAGCTTGTTTTCATTCTTTCAAACAAAAACAAAAAAAGACCATTTCCGCTTCCGCCCTACCAGGCGGGCAATCAGGAAGCGCAACTGAACGGCCAATAAACACACCAGAAGCAAAGTCTGGTTTATTTTGTCCCAAAGTTAGATCTCTGGGTGCAAACTTCAAGGGAACTCGTCTCTCTGCCTAAGCGGCAGAAGCAGAGCTGGGGAGCCGCGTACCTGAACAGATCTCGGGGGGGGGAGGGTGCGGGGATGGGAGGAAGGCTGCTTTCCCAACCCATTTTTCTCAGACCCTTCTCTCCCCCGCTCCGCCTGAAGCTCTTGCAAAGGCGACCCTTGGCAGGCAACGCCACTCCTCCCCCATCTTAGGTGGGCAAGGATGATGGGCAGGGCGATTCCGTCTGGAGATCAGCGCCAGGCATGACCTCTTGCCTTGCCCCACAAGAAAGAGAAAATGCCCTTCACCTGCCGGGGTGGGGTGGGGGTGGGAGCAAGAAATGCAACTGGAAATAAGGACGGAGCTCCATTACAGCCCATCTCTTTGGTTTATTCCCGGATTATTTTGGATCCAGCCGCTGCTCCCACCTTCCCCCCGCCCCCTTCTCCCGGGCCAAACTCGTTCCCCAGCCCCTTCGGCGAGGGGATTTGGGGTTGTCTTCGGAGGGAGTCTCCGCGTCCCACTTGTGCCCTTACTTGGAAAGATTCTATCGAAATTACCGTTGGGCAAACCGCCAAGCGTGTGGCCCTTCTACCCCCCGTTCCCCTCTTCTTCCCAAAACCGGCACCGCTCCTCTCGAAGTCCTGCAGCCGAAGCGCGCCTTAATCTTGGGGCGACTGCCAGGACGCATGCGCAGTTCCCAAATGCTCCATCAGTTTCGCTTTCTAGGCTCATTTGCATAAACGGAAGATGCCTAGAAAGCCGCCATTGGCGGGCAAGGTAGCCGTGTAGGGCATCGAATTGCGTGCCACGCCTGGTTGATTGGTTGTTGGACAAAGACTCGCGTTCGGTATTAAGTGCCACGCTCTCAAGAAGGAAGCCGACCGAAAGACGCGACTCTATGGTTCTCAAACCTATTTCTACTTCGTATCCCATACGCCACCAGAAGTGACGTAATAATATCATGGAGCGAGTTTCCTTTTCGATCAAAAGTTCTGCCTCTCCCCCTTGCCGGACGTCATGATACCGCGCAAGCGCAGATAGGCCCCATTGAATTACGAATCTTGGCGCTGTTTCTTGGCGAAGTCGCTGCATACGGACTTGGAGACAAGTCCGCAAACGCGCGGGTGACTGTCATGGTATTGAGAGGTACCGGGAGGAAGATTTTCCTTGCTGTTGACATCGCAAGAGTTTCTTTTTTAAAAAATTTGTCTGATTCGGTGCTAGGTAACAGTTTCTGTATACTTATGTTCGGAGTTGAGTCACGTTAAATGTCAGAAGACTTGAGTAATCGTCCATAGGACTGCATGTCTAAAAGCAAATATAAAAATCATAGGAAATCCTTTGGGAGATATATAATCCGTTGCATCTGATATAAAACTTGCCAGGCACGTAGATGATGAGAGAGCAAAAACTGAATAACGTTACTCTGCAGCATAATATAAAAATTGCCTTTGCTTGGGAGACAAAGACAAAAAGCTAAAATAGAAACCCCTGTATATAAGAGGAGAAAGAGTTGTGTCTTCTAAGGAATTTAATTACATATCTCTCGTTGGTTTCTAGATTAAAGGTATTCAGTTGCAGAGCCTAGTGCATGCCTTCTGATTCAACAGAAACTTAGGTGCTCTCCTGGCTACACAAACCCACACAGGCATGTTATTTGGCTACTCACAGAATAAAAAGATACACTAAAAATAGAATAATGGCATTAAAATAGATCTGGATAAAATCAAAAACAAGGAGAGTGCAGAATTACTGGCAAAATAAAAATTACTGAAGGTAAGTTTTGTAGAAATATAGGTGTATGCTCCATTCTCAGACATTTCTACTTGTCCCATGTCAAAAATAGCATATGACTATAAAGATGCAAATTGGGTCACTGAATGCGTGCTTATTAAAGGATCTTTCCTATGAAGAAAAAACTCTAGTTTTTTCAAAAGTTCAAAAGTTTTTTGGGTTTAGAAAAAAAGCCATTGAAATTACCATTAAACCAGATTACTGTAGATTATGTATTTTGGGGAGAGTGAAGATTCCCCCCCTCCCCACCTTTCAAAATCATAGAACTAAGTTCTAGTGATCCTCAGTGACAGGGCAATAACAGGCTATGCACAAACATATCTTCTCATTTCAGATTATTTTGCATGTGTGGGTATGAATTTTATCTTAAATAGTTAAAATCTGTTGTGACAACTTTAGAGTGAAAGACAAATTTATCAGTTAGCATTCACATGATGTTGAAATAACCATTATGTTTGGGAGAGATATCTCCCACTATCTGATGCTTGGGGGAGAAAATAAAGTAATTCTGCTTGTGAATTTTTTAGAAACATCTAGATCAGGGGTGTCAAATTTGTGGTGTCACGTGATGTATCGGGACTTTTCCCCTTCACTAAACCAGGTGGGGTGGGGCTAGCACATGATGCATCTGGCTGTAGACCGCGAGTTTGACACTCCTGATTTATTTATTTATTTGATTTATTGATTTGATTTGTCAATTGCTTACAAAATAATAGGTATAGGTATATACATAGTTATGAATACATGAAATGGATGCAAATAAGAAACAATAGGACAGGGACGGTAGGCACGTTGGTGCGCTTATGCATGCCCCCTACAGACCTCTTAGGAAAGGAGTGAGGTCAATAATAGACAGTCTAAAGTTAAAGTTTTGGGGGTTTGGGGAAGAAACCACAGAGTCAGGTAGAGTATTCCAGACATTGACCACTCTGTTGCTGAAGTTGTATTTCCTGCAATCAAGTTTGGGGTGGTTTACCTTGAGTTTGTATCTATTGTGTGCTCTTGTATTGTTATGGTTGAAGCTGAAGTATTCATTGACAGGTAGGACATTGCAATGTATGATTTTATATACTATACTTAGATTGGACCAAAGGCGGCGTAATTCTAGGTTGCCTAGGTCTAGAATTTCAAGTCTGGTGGCATAAGGTATTCTGCAACAAATAAAGGAGTGGAGAACTCTTCTAGTGAAATATTTCTGGACTTTCTCAGCTCATCTTAGATAGTGACTTTGGGAAACATACTTGTTTAGATGCAGACTAATCAATTGGGATTCTTGATATTATATATCTTAGCATAGAAAAATGACAGACGTATTAGGGATTGTTAACCTCTAGACATCTTTTTCAGAAATGAGCTTCCTTGTGTTTATAGGTCTTGTTCAAAGGAAAATATACACAAGGCTGAAGCCTGAAAGTTTCAAATGCTGATGTGCTATTATTTTCACAACTATGTAATAGTCTCTTGAAATTTAGACAAAATAAATCACTATGGCTACCTAGAAAAATTAATTATTTCAGAAGAAGCAAAGCTAAAAAGTTGAGCGGAGAAGGCTTATAGATTTCAATGCCATCTGCAACATAAACAAGATCAGGATGTGAATAGCACAAGGAAGAGAAACTCTGAAGTTGAGAAATTTGTCACTTGAAGAAGACTTCAGTGTTATTCTATTTTCGATAGTTCCGTTAACCCCTGAGATAAAAGAAACTTTGCACTTAGCTAAAAGTATTAGATTCCTAACTTTTGTGCTTGGTTTTAGAAAAGGCTCTAAAGCTGAGTTGAATAGTTCCTTCAAAGAAATCATTCTGATAATTAAAGTTGGATTTAAAAAATACAAGAGAAAAAAGGAGGTTTTGGCATTGCCTCCTACATGAAGTCTTTCATATTTCTTTTAAGTTGTGATTGCTGATTTACCAATGCAAATTAAATTTTTGCTAAGAAGAGCAGGTATATGTCATTAGAATAAGTTTCTCAGTGCCCTCCCAACCCCTGTGGCTATTTCTAATTCTTTAGATCTCTCCATCTCCTCTTTTTATCTGAAGCTTGTGAAATTTGTTAGGTTCTTCAAGAGTGATAGGATAAAAGCCACTTTTTGGAGGATTTAAATCATTATCTCTCAGTCCTGGTGTTTCATTCCATGTTCTAAATATCTGACTTTTTTCTGGCATTATCAGCCAGTTGCATGTTAGCAATGACTTGAAAAAATAGTGTAAGACTGAAGTCCCATTTTAATCTGGTAAAGTAGAAACGGATGCATAGGAGTACAAACCTATACACAGAGCTTCCTTCTGGGTGATTGCAATTCTTACAAACCTGGAACTTAGTTTTGAGCAGATGTAGGTATTACTGCTGAATAAAGTCACTTATTAGAGATTACTGCACACATTTGGAGTCACTTTTGTTAAAAATTACAGGATTTTGCCACTGCCAAATTCCTGACAATCCAAAAATATGTCTTAAAGAGCTATTCTATTAAGCCTGCAGAAAGCAATTGGAGATAACTCTTACGCACAATTCATTCTGGAGACATTGTGTTGATTAACACTGTGGGGGTATACAGATTTAAATCATAGTAATAGGCACATTTTTCTCTTTATGTGCAAAAGAAGGGGAAAATGGATAGAATACGAATCTAATGTTGGATCTCTGACTGATTAAAGTAGGGATGAGTAGGGTGGCTTCCAAATATGATATAATTGCATCTCCCATCATATATCGCTAGTGGATGTATTGGGTTGAATTGCTAGAAATACTCAGAAAAAAAATGAGCACGTGGTTTTTACTCATTACTGGACCAAGTGAACTCTGGTTAATTCTGAAAAGAACCCACATTATTAAGCCAATTGTGGTTAATTATAAGACAACAGTAATACATCAATAAAATTAGTATGGCTTAACAGTGAAAAATCCTGAATAGTTAGTGTGAAATTATGTAGATGAAGGTAGTTTAGTTGTTGATGATGATGATGATGATTTTAAATAGACTCTTTGGAATTATAGTCAATCTATTTCTTTGCTACAATGCAGCCTAATATCATTCAAAAATATTAGGTTATACATCCCATGACTCCAGTAGCCCAACCACTGGCTGAGAATTATACAATAAATATCTCATCTTGTAGGTATAATGCTGTGCATGTAAGTATCCATTAGATGGCACTGTTCCCATTTTTTGTTTTTTGTTTTTTTTTATTGTAGAATCCTACAATTCTTTAGATTGACAGAGTGCTCAAGAGCATGTGACATTTGTCTGCAACACCGTAAAGCATCTGCTGTGTTTACACTACTCTGGATGCCAAAGCATCTTTTGGAAGCTAAATCCAATCTACCTTACAGCCCTATAAATTGCATTCCAACTGACTTCTCTAGGGTGAATTGAAAAAGAAACAGTACATGAATTAATTTGTCTGATACTCTTAACACAGTAAGGAAAAAAAGATGTTATTGAATTAAATTAGGAATAAAATCAGAAAATTTAAGGGAATGATGAATCATTAAAGGGGAGGGGATGAAGAAGAGAATAAATAGCCAGAAATAAAAATTTGCAGAATAGCAATAGCACTTAGATTTATATACTGCTTTCACAGTGCTTTACAGCCCTCTCTAAGCAGATTACAGAAGGAAATATTCCAGGGCAGGGAGGTAATCTGAAGACTTTTGCTCTACATACATTGGATTGTTTTAAAATTCAAAATTCAGGGAAAGGAAATAGTTTAAAGGGAAAAATGAGATGCATCTTTATATATTTACTTGATTTTTATCCCAGCTTTACTTTATAAGTAATTTAGCTGGTAAACATACATAATTATCCTTCTTCCTCTTTTTGCCTCCTGACAACAACAACCCTGTGGGGTAGGTGGGGTGGCCTGGGGTGGGTTGAGAGAGTGACTGGCCCAAAGTTGGCTTTCATTTTTAGGGAGGGGGTGGGAATAGATCTCACAGTCTCCTGGTTTGCAGGCCAGTTCCTTAGCCACTGGACCAAACTAGCCTAGATCAACATTTGCATGCTCCAGATTTTAAAATAATAATGCAGTTGTAATATTAGAATTATGAATAAAAAAACTAATGCAGGCAGGAAACAGCAACTTCTGGAATACTGTTTAGGTAGTAGAGAAAGATGATTGCAATAACCTCTTCCATTCTGATCTACTAAGTTTATTTTTTAACTTAGTAGTAATTGTCACTGCAGTAATTGCTAAAAAAAAGAAAACTTAGAAGGATTCATAATAACTGCTGCATGTCTTATGAGAGACAGTAGTTGAATTTTTGAACCTTGTGGATCTGAAGAGATAATTTCTTCGCGCTGCATATTGGTTTTTCAGCCTTTGAAACTATGATCACACACTATGATCCTGTGTGTGCTTTTTCAAGTCCAAGTTTCATATCTTCAGTCTTAGGCTTTCC